CAAAAGATTCCAGGGATATATCACCAGGAGGAAAAGAAATGGAGCAGGGGAGAGCTCCACTGCTGCATAGGATTTTTACCCTCCCCAGATGGCCAGCTAACACCAGCAGCCCAGAACAGAAGCAATCTGAACAGAAGTTAATCTCAACCAGTCTCCATTTTAATTGTGTAAAGTCCTTCTTTCCTGTGACTGAATGCAGAGTGAGTCTCATTCTCACAGCTGCCTTCTTGCAGGTCCCAAGAACAAACACATAGCCTTTTGTTTAAAAGGTTGTAGTGCTCTTTACTACAGACTTGGAAGAAGCTAGGAATTGATGAAGTTCTTGTTATCATTCCTTTTCCATGTCCCGGACCCCTTGCCTAAATGATAGCAGAAACCCCACTGATCTCCTGTAGGCTTAACTATTTATAGAGTGCTTGTCTTACTTCTCTACTTCCTCATATCCCAATCTTCCCTTGGTCTTATGGATCCTTCCTCACCAGTTCCTTCTTTCCTACATGAGTTCATGGTATTACTGGTCCCAATTCTTTGCCCCATCCTCTGCATTCACATCCTTGTCATGTCCTCAATATAAATGGGGCTTGACTTTGGGCTTAGTCCTGTTGCTTGCTTTGCATTTCCATTTGCTCTCTTGCACTTCCACCATTTATCATGAGAAGGACATGCCTACGGTAGGGAGGATGAGACTCATGTGGTCAAATCTGCTCCCATCACTGCCAGCTTAAAGTAGACCTCCCCTCCTCTTACTCTGCCAGCTGATCTGTAGAGCTGTAGTGAGAAGCAGAGTCCAGTCCAGATCTGCTGAACCCCAGTTGACAAACTGAATGTGAGCAACAGTAAATTGTTGTCTTAGGCCACTGAGTTATGAAATGCTTTGTTACTCAGCAACAAGTGGATAGGTCTCAGGATTCCACCAGAATCAACAAGTATAAACTATAGCCCTTCTTCTCAGTTGGTTAATATTATCTCTGAATCTCAAGATATCACTGGCAGACATTGCGACCGCTGCATGCCATAAAACACACACACACTTCTATGAATACTAAATAAACCAACAACAAAACAAAATCCAATAACTTTGCAAGAGTCTAAAACTATTAAAAAGGTATAAAAGTTTAGGATATTCAACTGCTTTATTAAAAGTTACAAAGATAAATGTACTCACACCTACCTTTATTTTCCTTTGTTCATAAGTTGGCCTTTTATTCTCTCATCATTGAACTTGGATGCAATACCAAAAAGACAATATTAGGCACTATTAAACAACAGGCAACACTTTGCCAGATACTCAACAAGTATTAAACTATAAACTTAAAGGCCAGGTGCAGTGGCTCAAACCTATAATCCCAGAACTTTGGGAGGCCAAGGCGGGCGGATCACCTGAGGTCAGGAGTTCAGGACTAGCCTAACCAACATGGTTAAACCCAAACTACCAAAACTACAAAAATTAGCCAGGCATGGTGGTGGGCACCTGTAATCCCAGCTACTCAGGAGGCTGAGGCAGGAGAATTGCTTGAACCCGGGAGGCAGAGGTTGCAGTGAGCCGAGATCACGTCACTGCACTCCAGCTTGGGCAACATGAGTGAAACTCTGTCTCAAAAAAAGTAAACAAACAAAAACTATAAACCTTATAAATAGAGAATCCTACCATACTGTGAATTGAAACATCCAAATAATGTAAGGACTTCAACTATTCTCTACCTACTTGACGTTAATATACGTCCCATAAAAATTCCAATACTTAGGGACTTGAAAAAATGATTTTTAATGTTTGTTTAAATAAATGAACATCTGACCAGCACAGTGGCTCATGCCTGGGATACCAGCACTCTGGGAGGCCAAGATGTGTGAATTGCTTGAGGCCAGGAGTTCACGACCAGACTGGGCAACATGGTGAAGCCCTGTCTCTACAAAAAAAAGAAAAATAACGAAAAACAGGAAAAACTTATTCACTGATGTCAAAACAAATTACAATAATTAAAACTATAGTTCTGACACAAGAGAAAATAGGAAAAACAGCTAAAAATAGAATGTATTTATATATAAGAATTTTTTACATGAGACAGCAGTGCAAAAAGAAAGCATTCTGCTCAGTGATGGAGCTGGAATTAATTAACAATGTGTAGGAAGCATCAGTTCTGTAAACTGCTGGAGGCAGGACCATTTCTGCTCATCTTGCACCTCCAATACCTGACATGTAGGAGGCATTCGTCAAATAATACTGAGCATATTTTACTGAGGACCTGCATTTACAAAATTTAATCTCAGCGAAACAAGTAATTGATTGTGAAATTTCTAGAAAAATATGTGATTAGTAGTAATCATTAAAAGAAGATCAACTGATTTAAAGATTTTAAGGACAGATCTATTAAAAAATAAGTAACTGATGGATCAATATAGAGTATTTCTACAAAGTAATAAGAAAAGCAGTAAGCACTGAATGGATAAGTGATGTCTACAGACAGATAATTCATTACAATGAAATCATATACAAATATACAGAAATGTACACAAATCCATTTCCTCTTAAGTTAGCAAAATATTTTTCAATAAAAACATACAATACCAATGACTATGTGAGTATGTGCATTTATGCTTGCATGCATTAGGAGTTGGGATAATAATTGTAGAAGTTGATTTCTGTAAAATCCACCAAGAATCATGGAAATAGAATAAGGTTTGCTCCCTTTCTTTACAGCTTTAGGGTGTCCCTCCTAAGGAAATAATTTAAAACTTAAAATTTACTCAGTAAGATAGTCACAATGATCTTATTTAGAACAATAAAAGATTGGAAGCAACATTAAAGTCTAACTAGTGGGGTTAAGTAAAATATGGTGTGTGTGTTGTATAGGATATTTGTAACCATTAAATGTAATAGCTGTGAAGGTCATCAAGTTCCATAGAAATACAATTATTATACAATGTTAAGTGATAAACAAAAGGCATGACACCCTACACTAAATTGAACAGGCTCTGCAAGGTACTTGCCAGTCATCCCACTCCCTTCCATTAAACCGAGTGCAGGCCATACTTTTGAGGGTTTGTTGTTTCACCCACAGGCATCACATGACTCCTCCTCATAGCTTTTGCACAAAGGGTGAGTGTCTGTGTTAGTGGGTCTTTTTAGTTTGGAGACTTGTATATTTTAGTTTGTGGATGATTTTTTGGTATTTATAGAAAATTTCTTCCCATTCTTTTGTCTGCAATCTTCATAATTCCTAATAATTGGATGGATTATAAACCTCTTTAAGTTTCTCTGTGATTTAAAAATGTATGGTCATCCCTCAGGATGTGCAGGGGATTGTTTTCAGAACCCCCTTGTATGCCAAAATTCACATATATGCAAGTTCCACAGTTGGCCTTGTGAAATCTGCATATAGAAAAGTGTAAGCACCTTTTGTATTCCTCAAATACTATATTTTCCACCTCCTTGTAAGTTGATCTGCCCAGTTCAAACCTGTGTTGTTCAAGGGTCAACTGTATCTCCTGATAGGTTTTCTCAAGTTTATCTTCTAAATTTTCTACTGAATCTTTAATTTCAGCTATCATTATTCATTTTCATGACTTTTTCTTGTTCTCTGATAGTTCCTGTTGCAGACATGTGAAGCTCAACAAATATTCCATGTACTTCTCTACATTTCCTGGCTTTAATTAGATTGGAGCCATGTGACTAGTTCTGGTGAGTGGTCTGTGAGAAGTGACATACATCACTTTCAGGCTGAGGCAGCTAAAAAGTACTGTGCCTGGGTCCATCCCTCTTGCCTCCTGCTCTGGTGTCCTTATAAGCCACATGTAAAAATGGTGGTGTCCTAAAATCAGGGAAGCTTGCATCTCTGAGTCCCAGATAAAGGAGAACAACTTATAATTGCTTTGGACTTGCTATAAATGAGAAATAAACTTCAGTTGTCCTCAATCATTGAAAATTGAGTGTTGCTACAGCATAGCCTATTGTATTTTAACTAATACAATGCTTTTTCTTTTTTTCATGGCATTCTGCCTTCATGAATGCAGTATTTTTTCTCCTCTCAGTATTATAATAATTCCTTGCTGGTATAATCTGTTTTTCTTCTAATTCCCTTTTCCCATTTGTTGTTTCTCTTTTGCATATTAGAGGCTCTCCTTAAATATCCTATGCTTTTTGACCATTCAATCTAAAAATAAGGTATTAAAAATTTGATACAAAGTTTTGTAAGCATGGATGGGTCTTGTAGACCATTAAGCAGAGGTTAGCTCTTCATTGAGAGACCCACATGTGTCAATACATGAAAATCCTTTAGGGCTATTCAATATCCAAATAGAATAGTCCTCCAATATTTTGGGAGATGGGATGGCACATATATCTGTCTGTGTTGTGAGAGCAAGGTGTGGGAAGGGTCTCATTATTTAAACTGCAAACTTTCACTAAATTCTGCATTTTCAATGCCTGGTGTCCCCACATTTGGAAGCCTTATTTGATTTCGCTAGAGAATCAACTTCTGATCTTTTGCGGGGTTAGTCATCTGGTTGTACAGTGTTTTTTGTTTGTTTGTTTGTTGTTTGTTTTGTTTTTGTGGTTGTCGTTGTTTTGAAACGAAGTCTTGCTGTGTCACCCAGGCTGGAGTGCAGTGGTTCAATCTTGGCTCACTGTGACCACTGTCTCCCAGGTTCAAGCGATTCTTCTGCCTCAGCCTCCCAAGTAGCTGGGACTACAGGTGCGCACCATCACACCCAGGTAATTTTTGTATTTTTAGTAGAGACAAGGTTTCACCAAATTGGCCAGGTTGGTCTCGAATTCCTGACCTCGTGATCCGCCCGCTGTGGCCTCCTAAAGTGCTGGGGATTACAGGTGTGAGCCACTGCGCCTGGCCTGTATAGTTTTGAGAAGGGGATTTGGGAGGATCCAACTACATACAGGTTTCAACCAAGCCCTTTATTTTTAGTCTTATGCCTCATCCTCATCTTTGGCAGTGCCTGGGTCTTCCAAATGCTAAGTCCTCCCAGGAACCCACTGGGCAAGTTACCTTTCTGCTGTGGGCATGTGGGCTGGGCTTACTCCACTCTGCAGTCAGTCACTACTCCTCCATCTGGTATTTGGACTTGACATAAATGAGATCTTTCAAACTTGCCAAATTTTCTTCTTATCTATGGTTTGCTTCTGTGTTCTCTTGTTTCTTGTGGGATTTATGTATTTTTATTCCTTCACTGAGACTTGACGGCATGTAGGAACAGAGAAGAAATTTCTTTTAGAAAATAAATGGTAAATTACCTCTTTTATCTGGAAATATATTGCTTTTGTAATGGAAAAAATCTCAATAAAATAATTACAAGGAAGTGCCAACACTGCTCACTATGAATAACTAAAATCTACACAAGTACAGCAAGAAAGTGGCCAACAGACGTGATTTGATTTTCTTCCCACTCACCTCCCTCCAGTATCAGCAAAGGTTTCATGGAATTCTGTAGGTGCTTATGCAATTCTTGAAATATTAAGAAGGTTTAGTAATTCAATTTCAGGAATACTTATTGAGAAAAATCACATCACTGAAACTCCTTTCCAGAATTGTTTTCTGTGAATTGGCACCAATAGTACAAGCAAAAATTAATATTTTAGTTTTTGTTGCTTTGTTATTTGGTTTCTGGACAAAATTGTAAACATGAAAAATTGACTCTTTTGGAGAAAGGAATAGATGTAAAAGTTATCATTTGGATTAACTGCATTGTAACATATAAACTCAGAAATATTTCCTAAGTGTTATTCATGTTTTCATTGTAGCTTAGCTCTATTTTAAGTTTTTCTTTCATAAGGTTAATTTTTCCCTCTCATATGCAACAGTGAGCCAGAGATAGCTTATTCCCCTGATTCCCACTCCCCTCAGCACATACTATATTACCATGAAAATAGAAATATGGTTTGCCCTCATCCTTGTATCTTTTTGGGAATCCATTCTAAGGAAATGATCCAAAATTCAGCATATTTGGCATTACGTTATTCATAACAGTCTTGTTTATAACAGGAAGAAATTAAAACCACACACACTTTCAACACATATACATGCAACTTACCCGTCAGGTGTTCTTAATTACGTGAGGGAAAGATTGGCTTGAAAGAGGAGCATAGGTTCATCTTTAGTAACAGCAGGAAGGCAGAATATATGGGTGCAGATGGTGGAAGGTGGGTAGATTGAGGAAGTGGGAGTTTGTGGAAGTTCTCTTCTGATTGCTCCAGTTTTGCCAGGAAAGTAAGAAGCAAGGTTGTCTGCTGTGAGTGGGGGCAGAGGTGTTGGATGTGTGAGGAGAAAGAAGAAGGTGCGAAATAATCATCTAGTAGAGTGGGAGGGTGAATGTACTAGAGAAATACAGTATGGTTGTCAGGCAGTTTTATGGACCTCCTTGAGGTCAAGAGTTGAATTTAAAGAAAGACACGCCAGCATGGTTTTTTATGTTTCCAGCCACTTCTAGCTGGACTGACTTCATAGGCCAAAGCAGCAAAAATGGGAAATAATCAAATTTGGAATTTAGCCAAGCAAATATAATGAAGAGGGACATGGAAAGTGAGGATATATACACAGAAGTGACTAATGACTAACTATGAATCTAAGCTGGTTTAAGAGGGAAAAGAAGAGGAAATAAAGTGGGTAGGGACAATAAAATGGTGGCAGGATCAATGGATTATAGGTCCTGTGTGTGGGGGTGGTGGTGTGCAGAGGATTTTTTGTATCTAGGGCTCTAGAAAGAGCTAAAAACATAAGAGTGATCAGGGAGGGAGTATCATGGAATAGTCACAGTAATTTGTTATGATAAGGCCCAGTGTGTCACTATGAGAGTTATGAGGGAGAGTGGAGGACAAGACCACCAATGCAGGGACATTGAGTGAAGTGAGTGGCCATGACACATGAAGTGTCTTCCGGTGGTATATTAAAACCACCAAAAATCAAGATAGAAGTAATGTTGGAGAAAACGACAGTGAGACAAATGTCAGTAAGTTGTAGTTGCAATGAAGGGTAGTGGGTGATATAGTCTGATGACATATGATTCAAAGCAGGGGTATTTTGGGAGGAGAGAGGGAGAATGGTCTGGAAGTTGTGATGAGCAGCAAGGAGGACCTCATCCTGCCTTCAAGCCCAGAAGTCTGAGGGCCGTGGGAGGAAAAGCAGCCTCTGCGCTACTGGAGGCAGTGTCCTCTGGGGAGAGCCAAGTTTTGGTTAGAGCAAGAAAGTGAATGTTCAGAGAAGAGGTTGGAGACGGGGGGATTTTTGCTAATGATGGATCATTAATTCAAGAGGGCACAGTTGAAGATTTGGGGAGCTCAGGAGGGGTGGGATGTGGGGATAAAATTGGGTTGTACAGAGTCATCTAGGGATAAAAAGATGGGAAGTGAGAGTGTCCTGGGAACCAGCAACTTCTTGGGGCAAGTAACACAAACAGGGACAAATGCCATAATGAGATTGGTTCCAGCGGACTCAAGACAGATGTTGATGAGAAACTTTGAGTGTTGAGCTGTGAGCATTTGGGGGTATGGAGGCATGAGTGTCTGGGGCTTCCTGCTGGGCCCTGTCCTTGGCAGGTAGAAGAACTGGGATCTTAGAGTTGGGGTAGAGCTTATGCTTGACCTCTCTTAGGGAGGGACTGTGGAGTTACTATCATACATTGTCATTTAAACTTAACAACTCTAAAAGGGTTTTATTCCTCATTTTATAGATGTGAAAGTTGACCTTAGCTCAGAGAGGTTAAGCAACTTGCCCAAAGCCACACAGCTAGTCAGGTTTGAGTTAAGATTCAAAAGCCAAATCCATTTTTTCCTTTTGTTTAGTTTTGTCCAGGTCTGTTTGTTCACGTTCTTTTTCTCTCAAATCACACTGCCTCTACCTCTTCTTTGAGATGAATGAGACTGAGGTAAGATAGGTATAACTGAAGATATGATTGTGGAATGGGGGCAGAGTTGAAGAAATTTACTCTTGAAGGCATGTTTTTTGTTTTTGTTTTCTGGTTTAATCCAGATATCCATTTGCGGGGGTCCTCTCTTCCCCTTTAAACTGAGACAAGAGTGCTTCAGTATTTCAAACAAGTGAAAGTTATTAAGGCTTCCCCAAAATTTCTACAGAGTCCCGGGCTCGCATTTTCATAGATTCCTCTGGGTCTCAATAATAGCGCTCTGATGTCTATGCTTCATTGCCCCAGATAGAAAAGTGTTCCTTCCTTAAATTCAACAAAACCACATTCTCACAAAGCACTTGTATTTGTGGTAGACTTTACAGAGGCCTTTGATGGGAGGCAAAGAAGGCGTATTTATCCACTCTTGTTCTTAAAAGCCTTTGTTTTCCATACTGGGATTTTGCACTTGCGGTTTCTCTTGAGTGTCAGTTAACTTTGGCCAACTTGCCGACTCCTCCCTATTCCTCTCCCTGTCCTTCAGAATGCTAATTTTTTCTACTCTATTATGTTAGGCAACTGTTCCTATCCCTTACTCTCCTTTCTGGTCTAAGCCTTCCTTTGTAAATCCAAGTTCATTAAGGCTTTCCACTGATGAAAAGATCTTCCATGAAACCAGATCCAGCTGCCTGGTTTCCCTTTCTATTGCCCTGTATGCAGATAGAAGCAAGGCCATCTGCTAAGACGGGGAGCTAAGGTGGGGAGGGCAGGAGTAATAAAGGGCTTCGGAAGGGGGTAGGGTAATGCCAAGTGGCCTCTGCAAGGAAAAGGGAGACAGGAGTATCGATGGAAAGGAATGCCAGGGATGCTGGGGGACTCAGCTGAAACAGATTCTTTAGCAATCAGCCATGCAAGCAGAAAAAAACATTTGCTGGGTTTTCTTGGGGTTAAAGTCTGCAGAGTGAGCACAGGATAAAGACAAAGACACAAAATTATGTAACGTGCTGACAAGACAGTTGCTGGCGAGACTGGCTGTGGGTCTGAGCAGGACAGTGAGAAAATGGGCCAAGAAGAGAAGGAAAACAAAAAAGGAAAGAAAAATCTAACATCTCAACAAGATTGGAAAATGGGTTGTGAAAGGAGGGGCAAGAGAGGAAGGAGGTAACGTCAGAAAGGGGATTCATAGAGGAGTTAAGATACACCAGCTGCTTGGCTCTCCTGGCACCCTAGGACCTGAGTGCCCACTGGGCCTCAACGCCATGCTGGCACTGCCTCCTGGCCGTACTCCCATTTTCTCCCTGAAAGACATCAGCCTGCCAAAGCTGCAGCAGCATAAACAGCCCACCTCTCCAGCCTCACAGAAGCCTGACGAGAAGGCTAATCAGGAAATCGAGTGCCCCTCCCCAGGCAGGCTTAGCATAGCTCCCTGCAGCACCTGTGGTCATCCAGTTTAGGAAACACACAGTCGCAGAATAGCTCCTATTTCTCTCTCTCCCACTTCTCTAACATCCCACTCTCCTTTTAGGGAACAATGTTCTCTCTTGCCTGCTGCCACACATATGGGGGGTAGCAAGAGTGGGCATTTGATTTCCCTGGACTTGAAATTGAATCCATCTCTACTGAAATTCTCTCTAATTTACATGTGCTCAGTGTTATCACCTTGTGGTCCAATTGCTCATCAGTTGCCTTCCTCCCATCCCACAGTCGCCCCACATTTTTGTTTCATTTTTATTTACTCCTCTTCCAAATCAAATGTCATCTCTGTTAACACTGTATTGGAAGAAGGGCAGAGAGAGCCCTTCTTTCTGCGTTCTTGTTAGAGGCGAGCTGTGGTTTAGGAAATGTTCCACATGCCATAGGTGATCCATCTGTCATCAGTGTAGCACAAAGCAGCATTTCTGCCTGCTTTTTCTTTCTCTGTCTTCCCCCCACCCCCCGCCCCAAGCCATATCTCTAGTAGCTTGATATCATGTACTACTGTGCCTATGGCACAGTTAGGGACCACTTTAAAGTTAAAACAAATGTCCTTAGTCACGGGGCCATATGGAGACTTGGTGGGTGGTACCATTAGTGGTAAAGCTTGAGGCAGATTTGCATTTGCTTTGTCCAGAAGAGAGAATCCCAAATCAGAGAAATGTTTTCATAAAATATTCTGGAACAAATTTAAAGCTGCTCTACCACCAAACAAGAATCTTCCTGTTCTCTGTGCAGTTTTTCCCCTCAAATGATTTCAGACATGCCCATCCTGGGCAGAAGCTCCCGACACTTACCTGCGTGATCCTTGGCAACTGTCATTTTATCCCAATGGGCAAATTTGATCATGGTCTTCTCCAATGCCAGCACAGAGCTCTCTCAGGGGATTTCTTGGGGAAACAATGACACAGTTTCTCTTTAATATTTCATCATAGATTCACATATTTCTGGTGAACTCACAAGTAAACATCTAAAGCACAGAGCAAGCTATTTATCAGCCAATGAACTATAAGCAATCTTCAGCTTCTGGGCATTCTGCTCACCCTTCAAAGTGATGTCCTCGGCTAATTAGACAACTTGCTCTTCTATCACAGGGACCAGAATAGACCATGACTGTGAGCAACTTGGAGGCAGGGGACATGTCCCTTCTCATTGCACCAACACATGTTTGGCAAGAAGTAGGGCCTTAAGGCAGAACCAAACTGAATCTGGAACTGAAAGGAGCCCACAAAATCATCTAATTAATAGGTTCCTTAGAACACTAGGGCCCAATGAGATAGAGGTTAAAGGGTGTCAGGGGAAGAGGAAAGAGAGGTTCAGAGGCTGTTTCATGGGCAAGTTAGTTTGGAAAATAATGTAATCAACAAAGTTTTATTACTATTATAGGACATACTGAGTCTTTAAAGTGCTAATGAGTCTTATGAATGACCAAAAGAAGGGACATACATGTATATTGTGTATTCTCACTAGAGTTCTGTGGGTCAGTGTGGGAAGGGCTGATAACATTCAATTCTCTCATTTTACACATGAGGAAAATGAGGCTATAAGAGGAAATAGCAAGGCCAGGCGTGGTGGCGCATGCCTGTAACCCCAGCTACTTGGGAGGCTGAGGCACGAGATTCACTTGAACCCCAGAGGTGGAGATTACAGTAAGCCAAGATCGCACCACTGCCCTTTAGCCTGGGCAACAGAAAGAGACTGTTTAAAAAACAAAAAACAAAAAACAAAAAAACAACAAAAAAAACCACACTCAGAGACATTTACCTTATTAGCAGTGCCTCTGGGATTAGAACCTAGACCTCTCCTTGCTGTGCTTTTTTCCACAGAAAATTACCACAGCCTCTGCATCCCAGGCAATGGGGAGAGAACCTGCTGAATGAGCCAATAGCACTAATATGATGTCAAGAGCTTGTTTTTAGCTTGACATTTCAAAGATTGATGTCCTGTGACAAGAAGAATTACCCCAAACCTTCCCAGGCCTTTAGAGAACACATTTTCCCTCATGAACCATGCAGTTCCCAAACTTTGGATCCATGTGAGGAGATGTCATACGGTGCTTTATATTTTATTCATGATAGCCCAAGCCATCACATCACCTTTTTAAAAAGGGCAAAAATGATTGCTACAGAAAGAACCTTTATGGACAGATGCAAAACCCTATACTGAAATTAGAAAAAACATAAAATGCCAAGAAAAACAGTCAAACG